GCGGACCCATAGAAAAAGTAAAGTTAAAAAAGAAGAACCGGGAGGGAGTGATAGAGGTGCCTGCAGGTACTTTCATAAAGCGATGATGCATCTATGCAGTTTATAATTAACAGAAAAAAGTTACCTGTTGCGGCCTGTTTCAAATACGTTTAGTTCCGGTCTCAGTCCAGTTTGTTTTTGCATAGTTGTGATCAACATCCCAACAAAAAAAACTGTTGTTAACGACACTAAATTGACCACGTCACCACCAAAACGTACAGAGGCTAAAGCGTACTTATAGGAAGCCTTTAAAAGTTTTTTAAATGGCGCTTCTAAATGGGAAACATTTCACTACGTTATGAAGTGCAAACGCATTATAGCGCAATATTTTCAGTATGACTCGGCTATATTGCTACACACGTTTGACATTTCCGATCTACTCTTCATATTAATATATATATATACAGGGTGGCCAAACACGTGACGTCATAAAAAAAAATTAGATTCCCCACATCGAGAGGAACCCAAATCACCCCCATATATATGGTCCGATTTTGTTTAGTTTAGGAGTTATGATTTTTTTTCGGATTTTTCGAGAATTTTTGAGTTCTGTGTTTATTTTTACCATAACTTCGTTAATAATTGTGATAAATGCCTGCTTTTTTCACGATTATGTAGCTAAGGGAACAACTTATACGCCGAGGCGGACCACAACCTGAGCATTACCCAGACCACCGTGTTTTTATTAACACACATAACACTTTCATGGCAGGCCGCATTCCAGGACGAGGAAGCAATGAAGGATATCCTACAGCTGATCCGGATCGCAGAGAAGTAGTACTTGAAGAAATTAGCCGGAATCCCTCAACGAGTACGAGATCTATGGCACAAAACCTTAGAGTACCACGAACATCGATACAAAATATTCTTCATGAAGACGGTTATCATGCCTATCATGTTCAAAGAGTTCAAGCGTTGATGCCTTCAGATTACCAGTTAAGAGTGGATTTCTGCGAGACAATGCTGCGAAGACAACGAGAGGATCCCGATTTTTTTGATAAAATTTTATGGACTGACGAGTCACGTTTTGAAAGAACAGGGATATTCAATATCCATAATTTACATACTTGGGCTGTTGAAAACCCCCACCAGTCAAGGCCGTCGACATTTCAACACCGTTTTAGTGTGAACATGTGGTCAGGAATATTCAATATGGAATTTATCGGTCCATTTGAACTGCCGTCAAGGTTGGATTCGGTAGCCTACAAAAGCTTCCTTGAAAATAGCCTACCATTATTGCTGGAAGATTCAAGCCTGGAAGCCAGACGGAACATGATGTTCCAGAATGATGGTGCACCATGCCACAACGCAACGATCGTGCGAAACTACTTAAACGAAAGGTTCCCAGACAGATGGATCGGACGAAACGGACCGATACGATGGCCTCCACGCTCCCCTGACCTCAACCCCATTGATTTTTTTGTTTGGGGATATTTTAAAGACATAACATTCGCCCAAGAATGTGCAAATGAAAATTCATTGAGGAACAAAATTCAAGAAGCGACACATGTGTTGAAAAACAACACACAAGCATTTAGAGATTTAAAACAAAATTTCATACGTATGTGTACACTGTGCATTTCTGTTAGAGGCAGACATTTTGAAAACCTCTTGTAAATAACATAAATGAATAATAATCTGCTGTTCAGTAAAAATCAAACGTGTTTTTGTGGTTTTTGCAAATTTTTTTTCCGAAACTAACAATTTCTATTGAGCAGAGGGTTATCCAATTTTGGGTTCGGTTCTATTTGAGCCACAATTACGGTAGCATGTAGTAAAGCTAGGTTGATGAAATTTTTACGGTAAATAGCTGATACCGTAAGGAAGTTTTTAAGATACTTACGAATAGTAAGAACATGTTTTTTCAATTTTTTATAAACGTTCAAAGTTGTTGCACTTTTTTACTTTTTTGTTATGTTCGAAGATTTTGAAAAAAATTAAAAAGTAGTATTAGTTACATGACTTGAATGATTATATGATAGTTAAGCCTTAGGTCTTAGCTACATAATCGTGAAAAAAGCAGGCATTTATCACAATTATTAACGAAGTTATGGTAAAAATAAACACAGAACTCAAAAATTCTCGAAAAATCCGAAAAAAAATCATAACTCCTAAACTAAACAAAATCGGACCATATATATGGGGGTGACTTGGGTTCCTCTCGATGTGGGGAATCTAATTTTTTTTTTATGACGTCACGTGTTTGGCCACCCTGTATATATATATATATATACAGGGTGTTTCAGTTTGTTGTTGCATAACTTTAAGATTCGATAGAACTTTTAAAATTAATGCATAAAGTCTATATAAACATGAGTCGAAAAATGCGTGACTTCCGAAATACAGGGTGTTTAAATTTACTTTCTAAAATAGATTTTTAAATATTTCGAACAATATTTGATGTATAACAGTGAAAATTGGGATACAAGGGTTTTTTGGTACGACAAAACGAACCATGGTCATAGTTTCACTGTAGCCGCTAGAGGGCGCTCTCTACTGTACCTGTAGTGTATTAAAATGACCGAAAATTTTTTCTTAGTGCAACTTTTTGCTTTTTGAATAAAAAAACTGATTCTTCGCACTTTTCAACATAAAAAAGGCTCTCTTGTGAATTTTCGTTATAGTTAGCCGTTTTTGCGATATTTCGATTTTTAAGGTTCGATGCATTTTTAATTATTTATGATAAAATAACGTTAAAAAGTCAGTATCTCGATAATTTTTAGAAGTAGGCTGTGCCTGCAAATATTTTTGAAATTGAAAGCAGAATAAGGTCAAACGTCAATTAGTTGACAGTTAGTTTTGTTGTCTGTTGAAACCTGAAACGTTTTTTTGCAATTGTGAATGCACGAAATTTAGTTTCTTTTACCTGTTTTTTTTGTAAGTTTTATAAAAATTCGATTTTCATTCTCCAATCAAGAGCTAGCGGATATTCATTTTGTGTATGGCTTTATAAATGGAAACGCAGCAGAAGCAGCCAGAGAATACGCACGAAGATTTCCAAACAGACGACATAAAACTCGCTCAGTATTTGTAAGAGTGCATCGCCAAATAATTGAAAATGGTTTTGGAAATCTCCAAAGGGATCAAAACATAAATGTTCGTCAGCGCAGATTTACCCGTATGATTCTGCGTGAGTTTGATAGAGATCCGACCACAAGTGTTAGGAGAGTTTCTGGTGCCTTGGGAATTTCAGCAAGCCATGCTCACCGTGTTCTTAGAAATGACCATAGACGTCCTTACCATTTGCAACCTGTGCAAGGACTACAGCCAGGGGACAGAGAACGAAGAATCACATTTTGTCAGTGGATTCTTGATAGAACTGATAATAATAGGGAGTTTTTAAGTAACGTTTTATGGACCACTAGACGTGGAGTGGTAAATTTTCATAATCAACATATTTGGTCGCATGAAAATCCGCATGCAGTTCGGGACAGAAATTTTCAGCATGAATTTAGTGTGAACGTGTGGATTGGTATCTACCGTAATCGACTATTTGGACCATACCTTTTGCCTGCAAGGTTAAATGCTGCGACCTTTTTGGAATTTTTAAAGGCTGAACACGCAAATATGTGGGATGATGTTATGTTAGATTTACGAAGATTGGCCTGGTTCCAGCTTGATGGTTGTCCAGCTCATTATTCGAGAATAGTTAGAAACTGGCTGGACGAAAATTATCCAGAAAGATGGATCGGCCGTGGAGGACCAGTCGCCTGGCCTCCACGATCCCCTGACCTAAATCCATTAGATTCCTTTGTGTTCTAAAAGAAAAAATGTACCAGACTCCCGTAACCACAAGAGATATGCTAATAGACAGAATCAGGAAGGCCTTATTTGAATAATGCTATACCACGTTCGATCATTCGTAGATGTGAATTGTGTATTGAACAATTGAGTTTACATTTCGAGCAACTACTTTAGATTTTGTATGTTTGTCCTAACTATCCAATAGCATTTTAGTTGTAAATAATTAATATAATTTGTTAAAAATAATATTGGAAAATTAAACAAATTAATATTCTGTTTTTTTTTTTGTGTTTATTTGGAGTTAGGAATGATTGCTGTGTTTAAAAACACAATCTAAACGATCATCTTAATTACTTGTAATGCCCAAATCGAAAATGTAAAGAAAATTATTTTCCCATAAATAATTAAAAATGCATCGAACCTTAAAAACATTGTGTAAAAATTTCATCGAAATCCGAGCAGTACTCCTCAAGTTATAGACGGTTATACGATTAGCGGACAGATAGACAGACCGACGGAAATGAGTGGCATTGTTTTTCGTGACGTACATGTCATATAACATCCGAAAAAATGTAATACCTCATTTTCTAAGATTTTCGTGATTACAATACTCCTCCGCCAGTAAGCGTGGGAAGTAAACTGTTCATGGAAGGTTTAAATACAAATAAATGTTCTGAAATATTTATCGGCAAACATTTCATAGATGCGACCAGCTTATTGACCCTGATCCTTTTCACGTAAGCAACAGGCGATATTTGCGGGAGAGGAGTGTTTTTCAAACGTCGGACAACATTTTCATCAGATGGCTATTGAAGCACTGGAGCACCGTTAAAACCTGAACACTGATGTTAAGAGGGACTGAGCAGAAAATAAAACAAGAAGTAAAGTAAATGCAGCTTTAATGCAAGGGGATCAGGGGTGGAGTATAGGTATGAACCCTCGAATGCAAGAATACTCCCTATGTTATCGAAAACTTCGTCTAAGGTACAGTTTATACAACTGCAGTTAAAAATGTAGAAGCGTCGGTAAGACGGATAATTGATGAATTGTGACAAATTGTTCTTCATAGGGAACCATTCTGGTAAATTTGAAAGAGGTAGGCAATTCAAAATTGTACCTTTTACTATAGCTGGTGGACACAATCTCGAACATGAGTTTCACTGATATGAAAAAGTCAATGTTTCACAAACCTGTAGCGAATACGTAAGTGCACTTACCCTATGATGCCTGATCCTCCTAGTTCTTCTTCTCACCTCTTGACCTCTGTCTTCCCTCCCATCTTCCGTTTTTGAAAACTTCATCTTGCACCACCAATTCTAGCGTTTCACCACATTCTGTCACATCTCGCAACATACACAAACATTGGACGTTAAGTACGTTCACTGATTTTCACAAAGGTTTCTATCCACCAACATTCACAAGTGTTAGACTTTAGATGCGTTTCCAATCTCTAATTATACAAATGTTGGATTGAATGTTGGGTACGTTTCTATGGGCTGATATACACAAGTGTTGGGTGCGTTTTCATGGGCTACCAACCATCGAATGTTGATCGACGCGTGTGCTGCATTTCCTTCCTTTCAAGACCGCTGAAGAGCCGCGGCCGGTACCGCCGACGCGACGTCTGTCTACCAGACAGCTGATTGCTTCGACAGGGACGGACTTCCACAGGGATCCATCCTGAGGCCAGTACTCAAATTAATTATAATTTAGATTTCAGGTGAATTACTGTATAGCTTTTAATCCTACATTGTTTCTGTACCAGACAGTTTGACTTCGTCAGGAACGGACTTCCACAGGGATGCATCCTGAGACCAGTATTCAAATATATTAATTATAATTTAGGTTACAGGTGAATTACTGTATGGTTATTATTCCAACGTTGCTTCTGTTATTAATCAGCACGTCTGATGTTAACCTAGCTGATAATTTACCTCCGAATTATTTTAACTTACCTGTTATCACAATTCAATTTCAGAGGCTGAAATATTTGAATCATCTAAGAAGTTGAAGAATAAGTTAATAATAGGACTAGACCAGTAACCAAGTTTCTTAGCTAAAGACTGCATTATGCCACTGTTACGGCCCTTAGTATACATGTAAATTTAATTTTGAAGACAAGCTCTATTCCATAAACTTGGCAACTAGCCAGAGTTACGCCAAAATTGAAAAAAAAGTGACAGATTAATAACCATAGGCACATCTCGGAATCTTGTAATTTTGCAAAGTTGTTTGAAGTGTTACTTTACGAGAGAAACTTTGTCGATCGATGAGCATGGTTTCGTCGATAAAAAATCACGTATCTCTAACCTTGTTTGCTTGATACAAACTATTTGCGAAACTTGGGGGCAGGTTGATGTTTATATGGACATGGAAAATGCATTTGTTAGAATATATTAAGGATCCTATTAAGAAACCTGAATTACTCTCAGTTTTCTGATGATCATTGCTTAACTCTTATCTTTTCAATAGGATGCAAAATGCTGAATATGAAGGATGTCGTTCACCACTTATATGACCTACTTCAGGAATTCCTCAAGGCTCAAACTTGGGACCATTACCCTTTCACTTGTGTTTTTCAAAATTATTCTATTACTCAGTATACACTATCCAGAACTGCCTGTCTTGCAGGAAGATATAATGACAATATCTTCATTGTCCCAGGCCAATCATCTCAACTTAAATGCTGACAAGGGCTTCGTGGCATCCTTCACAAGAAAACAGAATATTTTAATTTTTGAATATTACCTTAGAAATGTTAGCCTTAAGCGTCAAGTGCTAATAGATGATTTAGGAATTCTCTTCGATCAAAAATTGTATATTTCTGCCCATTTACGAGTAGATACCATTGTTTCTCAGCTAATAAGATGTTGGGGCTTCTCATGATTAATGCTGAACAGTTCTCTATCTCCATTTTTAAAATTGTATATACAATTTAGCATGTTAGAGTATGGGGTGTTGATTTGGTACTATGCAGCGCACATTAGTAAGTCAAGCGTGTTTAGAGAAAATTTTTGGAATCCATACATTTTAAGTGTATGGGTGTACTTCCTCAGATTTGATTACTTTTTGCTGCTTAATGAAGTAAATTTTGCTTCTCTGAACACAAGGCGTATTTTTCTAACAACATCCTTTTTCCATAACCAATATTTTTACTAAATTATTTGTTTCAATCATTTGTAGCAATTATAACTTAATAGGTAACTCCTCTCTCGCTCGTTTACAAATCAATTTTCCAGACCACAATCAATATGTAACTTGTTTGACAATTTTTTATTATTTAATGTTTCATTTTCATATAACACTAGTTGTTCTTTTCATATGTGAAACACAACATTTAGTTTACTTTAAGCATTTCCTGTTAGGATGCGTTTGTGCCTGTTGGAAATAAATGTCTGTATATCTACAGCACCTTTCATGCTGCGGGCTAGGTCTTTGCGATTGAGTTTGAGAAAGGAGACTTTCTCCCGTACGAAATCTGTAGATAAATTGTTACAGTATAATCTTCCGAAGACACGAAGAGACGTATTCATTGAAGTATTGCTCAACTTTGGTGGGAAGCCAATCGTTTCAGCTTGTCGGTGTTCAGGTAACTGAGAGAATTATAAGTTGAGAGCTAGTGTTATTCTCCATCTAAGGATAAGATTCGACCTAGAATACTGTCCACAAGCTTGGGGTGTTGAAGCTCCTACTACTCTATCCATACCTGACGTGGCTTAGAAGAAAGTTATTAGACTGATCTGTGACCGATCTTAAACGCATCTCTGACCTTGACGGGAGGTTTGTTAGCACTGCCAACAAACGTTTAGCTCTCCTCATTACGCCATCTTTCTTTCTTCCTGGAAACAGTCTATCGGGATACGTAATTTTCCACTCCTAGCGGTTCAACAATAATAATAATAGCATCTAGCTTTTTTAGGCTCCGCCTTTGCAGATGCTCAAACATCTAGAAACGGGTCTTTGAGACATTGCGAATATAAAGTATGAACGAGCATGAGTAATAAAATGTTTGGTTATAATTACTGCATTGTAAATTTTTTGGTGAACACCGGTCCTGTTTGCTTTCCACAATGTTTCTACCTCCTGATCGTCAATTAAAAAGGGAGTCCCTGGTCCGACTGCGATTTAGTCCGGCTCACCATTCGAATGGAGCGCCATGGGAAATTTATGGTTTTTACATGGGGCCCGTGTGCCGCTCCATATTTAGACCGGTCACATTGGGTATGGGTTTTCTTCAAAAACTCATTTTTACTCCCATGCCACACTAGTTTGATCAACAGCGAGTAGAACGTATCTACTATAGGTCCAGATTATCGCTTGCTAGCTTGACCGCATACTGCTTATGCTTTAACTTTTTTGATTCCGTTCAACTCCGAGTTAACCGATTGTCCTCCTTCTGTGCTCTATCACAAGGGTACCTCGATTCATTTGTAAATATCACATAAAACTTGAGATATCCCGAAGTGTATATATTTGCTGTTGAAGAAGAAGAGATACAAAAACCAGAAGTAGTAGTAGCAGTAGTAGTAGAAATAAAAGAGTAAGTATCTCGAGTCTGACCCTTTGATCGTTAAGCATCAAATCCCTGAATTATTTTCTTCACTGAAGCTGCCCAGGTGACTGTTCCAGTCAGTAGTGTTGTCTCCACACTTTAAACAGGAGGCTGGCGCCCGAGGAGTTGCTGAACTAGAAAGGCAGGTAGTTCGCCAGTTAGTGACCTCGAGGAAATAGCGTTACAAAAATTGGCCCTTTGGTGATAAACTTCAGACGTTTGTAGCATTTTTTAAATCTCAACAGTGCTTATTTCTTCGTTCACTGCTCCCCTAATTCTTCACGTAAGCATCGCTTCTCAACCCAATAGAGCTTATTTTTATTTTTTGTCTGCTTACGTGACTCTGAACCTTTTCGCTAACATACCACTAAAATTTCAACTCAAAAGAGCACAACCATCAATCAGAAACTCATTGGTGGTCGGTTTCATGGATTAGATTGACCCTATCTGGTTCACTTTTCACTTCCCACTCGAAACAAGAAAGAGAAATTGAAAGGTCTCGTCGTGTTGCCCTGTGAGAGCATGACTTTGGATGACCCGTCATGACAGTTCATTTATATGAGGGATGTCCTTTAAGTTTTGCATATAGAAACATAGTAGGCCTCGCGGTTCGAACATCTTAACCTCACTATTTAGTAAAATTAAATTCAAAGTTTCACAACAATACAGTGTTCTCACTACAGTGAATTCTTAAATGTCACCAAGTCATTAGAAAAATGGAACTCAACCGAGAACATTTTCGCGTTATAATTTATTACAACTTTCAGAGACAATTATCGCAACAAGAATGCCTTGCTGAGTTACTGTCTGTTTTCGACAACGAAGCGCCACATCAGTTGACAATTTCCCGTTGGTATGGAGAATTTAAACATGGACGGGTGAGTCTTAGCGACGATTCCAGGGTGGGTGCACCAAAAGCGGCAGTCACCCAGGAAAACGTCGATGCTGTGCGCAAACTCATCATTGAAGATAGACATGTGACATATCGCGAGGTTGAGGCGTCCTTGAAGATCTCAAAGACCTCAATTCAAAAAAATTGAAGAACTAGGAGTAAGAAAATTAGCTTCTCGTTAGATGTTGACTGAAGAGCAGAAAGCAGCCAGGGTTTTGGCATATGAAGTATTAAACCGAAGACAATCTTCCACTTGTGCGTTCAAGACGTAACAGTGGGAACATTATTTAGTCAGTGACGAAATCAATACAATTTAAATATTCAGCCTTGATATTGAAACGGGCATTTTCCTTTTTGATGCTTCGAGTCGGATATACGAATTTCTCACCACCATATTCCTAATCGACCTGTGCTATACGACGAATCGCGACAGCTGCCGTCTGCAGCGGAGTCACACCTTCGGCAGCCGGCAAGCAGCCGGTGCAGATGCACATTGAACTTTTGAACACCGTGCCCCGAATGTTGGGGTGTTTTTAGGCCCTAGGCCGCCGCTGTTGCGTAGGGTGTGTAGGATGTATGGTGGTGAGGGAGGGTGCGGACGCGTGCTGCCGTTGCTTTGCTCTTCACCCTTCGTCCTCCGTTGGAGCTGCTCACGATTCACGAAACAATCAGATTTGAAACTCGTCGAAGCTTGCATGGGAACCTATGATAAGTGGGTCAATGAGGGCTCTCGCAGTTCTCTGGCACATGCACAGATGTGATTTTGGCGTTTATTTTTTTTTCAAGGCATCCAGGGGAATGGTAGGTAGTATGTACGCTGTTATCAGTATCGACACCCGTATGAGACATTTCTTAGCCTAAGGGTAAATGTACGGGAATACCTATGATGAATGAAATGCACCTTGCAGCCCCTAACCCACAACTTTCAACCGCTACCAAATTTTTCTCGTGAAAAAACGAAGTTTTAGCGGTTTTTATTTTTTTGTTTTTGACACCTCTCTCCACCGCCACTGGACCGATTTTCGAAATCCGAGCGTCACGGGTGTTATGAGACAAACCTATAAAACGTCAAAAAAAAAAACACAATAAAATGTCATCTTGCAGAGTATTATATATCTTAAGGTGCAAA